GGCTCCAGTGGTAACGGCAGACTGGGTAGGACTAAAAAGTTCAATCAATTAATTCCAACTTTGCGAGATCTTTTTTTTCCCACGAGAAGTTGAAATTGATTGATTGATTGATTGAACCTGTTTTTGTTTTTTTTTTGCACACGGCGGCGGAGGCTTAAAGCGAAAAGGTTTTATAAAACCCAGCTGAAGACCTAGGACTGGGGTGAGGGCGCATGTGTGCCCACAGAGAGGGTTCTGCGTGTCACCTGTGGCACGCGTGCCATAGGTTCGCCACCACGGGCCTAAAGTAACTTGATTCTAAATGGCTTCCTAAAGTGTGGGTTTCAATTCTGGGGCTGGAGTTTTCCTTCTGCTTTTACTTCTTTGAATTAAAAAAAAAAGAGGGGGATTGCAACTTATATCAAGCTTTGTTTATCCAAAGAGTTCTATTGTCTATTCAGGTTTTGACCATGGATAAAGGGCTCCCAATAGCAAAATGTCTTCTGTGGATTTGCCATCACACTGGAGCTCTTCTGAGCTCTGGACTGGAATATTAGCGCCCACTGGGATTTAAAACGAGAAACCTCGGAAAGAGTTAAAAGGAATATAAGGTGTCCTAGTTAATTTTAGTGGATTCTCCTGAGACGGATGGCAATATCACTTGGTGTGATTGACAGTTTTGCCTCCTTTGTGTCTTGTGATGTTTAATAAGTTATTATTGTTTTACATATAGTTTATTTTCTTATGAAAGCCTGGATTCTCTTGATGCATAATTGATGAATCCATTGGACCTGACCTACTTTCAGTCTCATCAGTACAGAGTACAATCTGCATGAGGGCTTTTGAAAAATCTTATCTGGGTCTTTTTTTTTTTGGAGTACATTAGAATGTTATGAAAGATAGCAAAAGGATGGTCAGGCAAATATAGAGTATGATACTTGCCTATTTTTCTGTACAATTCAGTCATTTTTAAATATTATCTTAATCACTATTACATTTTGATTGGCACTGCACCAGTTTAGTATCAAAAGTTTTTAGTCTCTTTACACATTGTGATAATTTCCACATGTCCTGTATGTTGATATCCTTTATAAAACAAATACTGTATAGTCTCTCTTCTTCTTCTTCTTGTGCCATATCCGTTATCGGACGTTGGCGATCATGTTGGCGATCCTGTTTTTATCAGCAGCCGCACGAAAAAGTGCTGCTGAGTTTTGTCCAAACCAGTCCCTTAGATTTTGAAGCCATGATGTTCTTCTTCTGCCTGGACCTCATTTGCCTTCAATCTTTCCCTGGAGGATTAAATGGAGTATGCTGTATTTTTCTGGGTGTCACATCACATGTCCAAAATATTCTAATTTTCATTTTTTAATTGTTTTGATGATTTCCCTTGGCTTTCCCAGGCGGCTTATCACCTCCTCATTTCTGATCTTGTCAACCCAGCTTATACGTAACAGCCGCCTGTAAATCCACATTTCAAATGCTTCTAGTCTCTTCAGGTCTCTTCTGCCAGAGACCAACTCTACTCCATAGAGCAGGATAGGAAAAATATAGCATCTGGCAAGCCTGATTTTCAGTCTTAGGCTTATGTCGTGACTGCAGAAGAACTTTTTCATTTTGAAGAATGCTGTTCGAGCTTTCTCTATCCTAGTCTCTCTGGATCCTGTCAAATGATGGTTCACTATGCTACATTCCTACAACATATAAAATATATATTAAACTACCTCTTCCTTAGACATGAAAGTCAGCTGGATGATTTTAGGGCCAATTACTTTTTCTCAGCCTGACCAACCTAACTAACACTGCTGTTATGGAGAAAATAGGAGGTAGAAGCAATAGAGATGAGCACTGCCTTGAGTTGCCCCCAAAGAAACGGGATAAAGTTCAATACATTTTTTGCAATAGATGTTTATTTTGCATAACTTTCTTTAAATAATGTTTTAGTATCCAAGGTTTTGTTTTATGGCTTGATTAAGGATTAAGACAGAATTGAAATGGCAAGAGTATAAGGTATGTTATCCCATTTCAACTTTAGGTTCACCAGTGCATGGTCTGACCTACAAATAGCCGCATTTAAGCTTGTTGAATGTGACATAGAATTTAGAAGCCAATAAGTAATCAATTTTTGAGTAAGATATTCTGTTTCAAGGATATGTAAATCCATTTGATTGTGGATTCACAATTCCCAGTGTATTAAGTAATCATTGAGCCTGCATCATTTTTGGAAGCCTTTTATATAATGAATTTTGTCTTTAAATTTTTGTGTATCCATTTTCCCTAAATTGTGCCTGCAGTTATATGTCTACCGAGATTCTCAGTCATCTAGGTCATGGTTGTCCCAAAGGTACTTTTTCAAGAGGCAACTGGACTTTCTTGTTTTTCTTTGAAGACATTTCGCTTCTCATCCAAGAAGCTTCTTCAGCTCTGACTGGATGGTAGGGAATGGAAGGATTTATACTCCTTGCAGACAGCTGTTCATTTGCATTCTTTTAGAGAGTCGTTGAGGCCACCTGGAGATTTATCTGTGTCATCAGGGTCACCTGAGTAGTGCAAATGGAACTGCTGAAAAGACTGTGTTGCAGACTGGAGATAGATGATACTATATCCCTCACCCTCTGTTGAGAGAAGGCTGTTCAGTTTTGACATAGATGGCCTCTTTGACCCTTCTTTCAAACCAGTGGTCCTCTCTGTCCAAAATGTAGACTTTGCTGTCTTCAAAAGAGTGGCCTTTGTCTTGTAAATGCAGATGGACTGCTGACTCTTGTCCTGATGGGTTTGTTCTCCTATGTTGTGCCATTGTTTATGAAGTGATTGTTTTTTTTTCCCCCAATGTACAGATCTGCACATGGCTCACTACTTTGTACTGCATATACCACTTTGCTCAGTTTGTGTCTAGATGTTTTATTCTTGGAGTGGACAAGCTTCTGTCTTAATGTATTTTTGGGTTTAAAGTGTGCACATATGTTGTGTTGGCTGAAGATCTTCCTGAGCTTTTCCAATATTCCTGCAACGTATGGAATGACAACATTGCTTTGTTTGTTGTTCTCTTCCTTGTCTGTTATGGAGGAGCTCCTGCTGGGTCTTTTTAGGGATTTGATGAAGGTCCACTTGGGATGGCCACACATTCTGAGGGCTTCCTTGATGTGTTTTAGTTCTTTTTTCCCGCCATCTTTGCTTGGTAGGCAGGCCTTCAGCTCGGTGGTGTAGGGTTCTGATAACTCCCATTTTATGCTCCAGTGGGTCTCGCCTTGGCTCCCCCTTCTCCCCCCATCTGTCTGTCTGTCTGTCTGTCTGTCTGTCTGTCTGTCTGTCTATCTGTCTATCTATAATTTCAAACATAGAAAGTTAAAATACAAAATTGCAGCAAAAAAGGAAACATAGGGATTTCATTTCCTGAAAAATAGAAATATTCAAAAAAAAAGGAAATAATTTGAACAATTTAAATAATTAATTTGAAAGGAACCCTTCACTTATTTCTTATTTAGTTGCTTGAAACTGTTTCCTTTTCTGTAGCTTAGCCTGGTGATATTTTGAAATAACATCACTATTTCCTTCTCAGTTTATTTCTTGTAACTCACATTTCTTTCAAATAAGTTTGTCTCTTGTGCATGCAGTGAGAAATGTTGATACAATGTCTCTCACAGTCTTTGTATCTTCATGAAGTAAACCCTCTATTTGCATAGTCAATATTCTTATCCATAGGTTTTAGATATGGAAACAATTCATTAAATTTTGTCACCAAGTAATCAATTACAGCATACCAGCATTCTCAGCAGTTCTCTCTAAAATCTCTGATCCTTAAGATTATTTCTTTTGCAGTATTCTGATCTTGTAATTTTGCCAAATTTATCTTGTTATTTGAAATATCTTTTTTGCTTTTTCTAATGTAGATATATTCTGTATGCTAGAATCATATTATAGGCTACCTACTTAGGCTATATTAGACATTTGCTTTGACGTTACCCTAAATTGTGTATTAATTTATTATGCCTGCTAAGTTTTCTCTTATCAGCATTATAGACTTCTCCCATTTCAGTTTTAGATCTTGCTTGGGTTGTCTGATCAATATTTGATTGAATGAGAATCAATGTATTGTTTACCACAATGACTTAACTCAGATGGTTCACCTCTAGTTGTCTCTATTGTTGATTCATTCCTCTTGGATAATAATAATAATAATAATGATGATGATGATGATGATGATGATGATGATAATAAAGTTGGAAGGGACCTTGGAAGTCATCGAGTCCAACCCCCTGCTCAGGCAGGAACCCTACACCATTTCAGACAAATGGCTGTCCAGTCTCTTCTTAAAAACTTCCAGTGTTGGAGCATTCACTGCTTCTGGAGGCAGGTTGTTCCATTGGTTAATTGTTCTAACTGTCAGGAAGTTTCTCCTTAGTTCTAAGTTGCTTCTCTCCTTGATCAGTTTCCACCCATTGCTTCTCGTCCNCCCCTGCTCAGGCAGGAACCCTACACCATTTCAGACAAATGGCTGTCCAGTCTCTTCTTAAAAACTTCCAGTGTTGGAGCATTCACTGCTTCTGGAGGCAGGTTGTTCCATTGGTTAATTGTTCTAACTGTCAGGAAGTTTCTCCTTAGTTCTAAGTTGCTTCTCTCCTTGATCAGTTTCCACCCATTGCTTCTCGTCCCGCCTTCAGGCACCTTGGAGAATAGCTTGACTCCCTCTTCTTTGTGGCAGCCCCTGAGATATTGGAACACTGCTATCATGTCCCCCCTCGTCCTTCTCTTTGAGGAATGATGAGCACCTCTAGTTGTGGTTTCTAAATGTATTGTTTACCACAATTTCTAAATGTATTGTTTACCACAATGACTTAACTCAGATGGTTCACCTCTAGTTGTCTCTATTGTTGATTCATTCCTCTTGGTTGCTGGAGGAATGATGAGCTTCATATAGTTGTGGTTTCTTCAGATATAATTCTAATGTAATTCCTTTGCTTTTATGTAAAGTATCTTTTCTGTATTCTAATTTTATTCTTGTCATCATTTATCTTCTGCAGGTGACATAGTGGGACTTTATGAAGCAGCTGGACAAAATAATCAGATCTGCACAGGAATTGTCACCCGGACGGCCTCCAATTCAATTACAATCGCAGTTGATGAGCCTCAGAGTAACCTTGTAAATGTAGATCAGGAGAATTTGTACTGTCTGTTGAAACTTGCCAATGATGTTACATACAATAGACTCAAAAGGTAAACTACTATAAAATGATGATTATGGAACCTTTATGTCTTAAGAAATAAAAAAAATCTTTATTTAATAACCAGAATTCTGAAAGGAAGTAAGGAAAACAGTTATGTGAGGTACAGCTGGGAGATATCTTTCCATTTGCTCCATTGTATTGAGATTTTGGATGATAGCCTCATCTTCCTAGGTTCATGAACGTTTCTCTGTTTTTTTGCTCAGTAGTTTATTGGCTGCTGCATTTTTATCATACAGAGCACTTTATAATGCTTATGTTGGCAACATATGTTCATAACCTGGGCCTTTTACTTGTGAAAATGATGAAACAAGAAGCTCCAGATGGCATGTGCCTATTGGATTAAATTGGCATGTGGTTGGAAGTTTTTTTCAGCCCTGACTGAAGGAATTT